CCACCACACCACCACACCACCACCACACCACCACCACCACACCACCACCACCAGACCACCCACCTTGCAGAGCTGCACAAAGTTAGCCTTGTCCTCGGGCTTGCCGCCCCTGTTGGCGGGGTACTCCCAGTCCAGGCACCACCACCACACCACCACCACCACCACACCACCACCACCACCACACCACCACACCACCACCACCACACCCCCACCACCAGACCACCCACCTTGCAGAGCTGCACAAAGTTAGCCTTGTCCTCGGGCTTGCCGCCCCTGTTGGCGGGGTACTCCCAGTCCAGGTCCAGCCCGTCGAACCCGTGCTGCCTGGGGGGGACGGGCGCGGGGGACGTTAGGGACGTACAGGGACTTTAAAACACGTACAAGGACGTTAAAATAACCTACATATAGTTTAAAATAACCTACATGGACGTNGAAAACGTACAGGGACGTTGGAAGACGTACAGGGACGTTAAAAAACGTACAGGGACGTTAGAAAACGTACAGGGACGTTAGAAAACGTACAGGGATATTAGAAAACGTACAGAGACATTAGAAAACGTACAGGGACATTAGAAAACGTACAGGGACATTAGAAAACGTACAAGGACGTTAGAAAACGTACAGGGACATTAGAAAACGTATAGGGACGTTAGAAAACGTACAGGGACATTAGAAACCGTACAGGGACGTTAGAAAACGTACAGGGACATTAGAAAACGTACAGGGACGTTAGAAAACGTACAGGGACATTAGAAACCGTACAGGGACGTTAGAAAACGTACAGGGACATTAGAAACCGTACAGGGACGTTAGAAAACGTATTGGTATGTTGGAAAACGTACAGACAATAGAAAGCGTACAGGGACGTTAGAAAACGTACAGGAACGTTAGAAAAACATACATGTACGTTGGCCAGGAATAAACAGCGAGTCAAGTAACGTTATTTGCAAATCAAAAAATTTAACGACGAATATTCGAAAAAAATACATTTTATTTTAGTCAAACTTCTTTTAAATTGCAAATAAAAAAAATAATAAAAGATAATTGAAAAAATTGCATCTAAACTTCCCAATCAAATTGTATCAAGATCAAAGATTTAACATCTTCGCAACATTAGCCACGGTTCATATTCATATTATATAAATATCAATGACTGAATATCTTCGCAACTCTATCCACGGTTCCTTTTCAAATTATTGAATATAAAAACCAAATTTTGAATATCTTCGAACTTTAGCCACAGTTCATATTAAAATTATATAAGGATTAAAGATTTAAAGACCACATGACCCAGGTATTTGCCTGCGTGTGTACTTGAGGGGGGGGAGCGTGTACCCAGGGATTTATTTGAGTGTGTACCTGATTACCTGATAAAGGCAATAATTAATATCACATGACCCAGGTATTTGTCTGAGTGTGTACCTGATGGGGGGGGGGAAGTGTGTACCCAGGTATTTGTCTGCGTGTGTGTGTACCCAGGGGGGAGAGTGTACCCAGGGGGGAGAGTGTACCCAGGGGGGAGAGTGTACCCAGGGGGGAGAGTGTACCCAGGGGGGAGAGTGTACCCAGGGGGGAGAGTGTACCCAGGGGGGGAGTGTGTACCCAGGGGGGAGTGTGTACCCAGGGGAGAGTGTGTACCCAGGGGGTAGTGTGTGCCCAGGGGGAGTGTGTACCCAGGGGGGAGTGTGTACCTCCCAGGGGGGAGTATGTACCTCCCAGGGGGGAGTGTGTACCCAGGGGAGAGTGTGTACCCAGGGGGGAGTGTGTGCCCAGGGGGGAGTATGTACCTCCCAGGGGGGAGTGTGTACCCAGGGGGAGAGTGTGTACCCAGGGGGGAGTGTGTACCCAGGGGGGATTGTGTACCCAGGGGGGAGTGTGTACCCAGGGGGGAGTGTGTACCCAGGGGGGAGTGTGTACCTCCCAGGGGGGAGTATGTACCTCCCAGGGGGGAGTGTGTACCCAGGGGGAGTGTGTACCCAGGGGGGAGTGTGTCCCCAGGGGGGAGTGTGTACCCAGGGGGGAGTGTGTTCCCAGGGGGGAGTGTGTACCCAGGGGGGAGTATGTACCCAGGGGGGAGTGTGTACCTGATGAAGGCGATGACGGAGTCGATGAAGGTCTTGCGTGTGTGGGGGGCGGCGGCCATAACAGAGTACTTGGTGGACCCCTCCGTCCAGCCCCCCACCGCGATGGTCACCTTCAGGGCCGGGTTGCGCTGCTTCAGCGCCACCGCCCGCGCGAACGCGCCTGTAAACGGCGGGGAAATGGCGTTAATATGGCTTGATGCGGCAGTGAAAAGAGGTAAAATGGCGTTATATGTAGCCTAGATGCCACGGTAAACGGCCGTGAAAAGCGGCGATGACATGCTATGAAGCGGCGGTGAAATGCCGTGATACGGCGGTGAAATGCTGTGAAATGGCGGGGAAATGCTGTGAAATGGCGCTAAAATGCCTTAATACGGCGGTGAAATGGCGTTAATATGCCGTGATACGGCGGTGAAATGCCGTGATGCAGCGGTGAAATGCCGTGATGCGGCGGTGAAAATGCCGTGATGCGGCGGTGAAATGCCGTGATGCGGCGGTGAAATGCCGTGATGCGGCGGTGAAATGCCGTGATACGGCGGTGAAATGCCGTGATGCGGCGGTAAAATGCGGTGGTAAGCGACGAAAAATACCTGCGACATTCAGTGTGGAAATGCCACCGTACAGCGGGGACTGCTGTGATCCAGCGGTCACTAACCGCCTTACCAAATCTCAATAGTTACTAAAGTATTACCTAACTCTTACTAGTGACGCAGCGCTTCATGTAAACAAACTACCTTTTAGCTTGATTTTTTAAATAAATTACCTTCTGGCTTAATCTATTTACATAGTAAACCCTACCTACATCTTTGGCAGCAGTAATAAACTAGTAAACCTATCTAAACTAATAACTAGTAAGCCCTATCTAAATACCCGAGGGCGGAGTGACCGGAGCGACGACTCGGAGACGGAGGACGACGAAGGCGGCGCATCAGCGTGACCGGGGACTAGGAAGTCCTAAACTAATCATAAGGTCACAAGCCCCTTGATCACCCACCGTTGACGATGTCATAGGCAGGGTCTAGCCCCCTCATAGGCAGGGTCTAGCCCCATGACCCACCGTTGACGATGTCATAAGCAGGGTCTAGCCTCATAGGCAGGGTCTAGCCCCTTCATAGCTAGGGTCTAGCCCCATGACCCACCGTTGACGATGTCATAGGCAGGGTCTAGCCTCCTAGGAAGGGTCTAGCCTCATGACCCACCGTTGACGATGTCGTAGGCAGGGTCTAGCGAGACGATGGTGTTGGTGGTCTCGTTCAGACCGGCGAAGGCGTAGATGACGTGGGTGCAGAGGCTGGGGTCTACGTCCTCGACGGTGAAGCGGCCCTCAGAGGGCCGGTAGACCGCCCACGAGCCCACGTAGCAGCCCACCACCGCAGACCCCAGCACTCCTGGCGGGGGCGGGGGAAATTATTATTCTTTAAAACCTATTTAAATTATTAAATATTATTAAGAGACCAGGGGGATAACTAAATTATTTGTATTATCGTTAGATTTAATATTAATTATGATTATTTAATAATGAAATATAGGTATTATTATTTATTTCATTATTAATTATTATTATTTATTAATGAAATATATTTAATATTATTTGTTCATTATTATTAATTAAACGGATATTTTGGGAAACCCTGGCGGGAGGGATATTTAAATTATTATTATTTAATATTTACATTATTATAAATTATTAAGATACGATGGAGGGTTATTTTAATTATTTGTATTATCGTTGGATTCATTATTAATTGAATGAGTTTTTTTGGGTACCCCTGAGGGGAGAAGGGAAATAGGGAAGGAAATTAAATATATATTATATTATATACCGTATTATATAATATAATATTATAATTAGATTCATTATTAATTAAACGGGTAACACTATTACGCTTTCTTGCTGGGATGACACACATAAGGGAGAAAGTGCATCAAAATTTGGACAGTCCCACACATTTTTTGGAGTATAGACGTTGAGTTGAATAGGGCAGTACACTATTAATTAGATACACTATATTATGCACTATTAGATACACTATATTATGCACTATTAGATACACTATTAATTAGATACACTATATTATGCACTATTAGATACACTATATTATACACTATTAGATACACTATTAGGTACACTATATTATACACTATTAGGTAGTACACTATTAATTTACCCTCTTGTGGGTCATCTTGACTCAGTTTGACCGGGCATAAGATATGGGCTATCATTGATATTTACTTCTAAAGTGTCACTATCAGACGAAATCTCCCATCCATTTTTTTGAGTAGAGCCACACAAATGCACTCAAGAATAATACGAAATATTGTCAAAATTCACTATATATTGTGTGGATCGGTCAATAAGGTTATAGAGCAGTATACAAGGATGTCTATACAGTACCTGTTGTGTTTTTATAGTTCTATACAACAATACAAGGATGTCTATACAGTACCTGTTGTGTTTTTATAGTTCTATACAACAATACAAGGATGTCTATACAATACCTGTTGTGTATCTATAGTTCTATACAACAATACAAGGATGTCTATACAATACCTGTTGTGTATGTATAGTTCTATACAATAATACAAGGATGTCTATACAATGCCTGTTGTATATCTATATTGTTCTATACAATAATGCACACAGACGCTGCAAAATATTTTACATGGCCGGAAGGTGTTCACACACGCCGAGCTTGTGTACAATACAAGTACACAATACAGTTGTTGCTGTAACAACAATAACAAGAATAATATGCGTTTAAAAATTTTTTTTTTCAAAGACCACACTCCTAAAGAGGCCGGTGTTGAACAACGAATTTCTTAATAAATTTTTAAAAATTAAAGAAAATTATTTGTCACATTTCTTTTAATATTAATTAAAAATTGTTTTAATTGTTTATTCTGCCAATTTATTCATCCATTGTCTGTGACTTTACACAAATGTACAAAATTTTAGATCGATAGGATAAGTAGAAGTGTTAAATTTCGATTATAAGATATGTAGCTGAAAAAATGTATTTTTCAGTTTTTTAATATTGAAAAAAATTAATTAAAAAAAATTATTCTGTCATTTTATTCATTTATTCTTCAACTTTATGCAAGAGTGAAGAATTTCAAATCGATGGGATATGTAGAAGTGTGTTTAATATTGATTATAATATTTGTAGCAGACAGACAAACAAGAAGTGAAGTTAAAGAGAAGTGTTGTAAAATTTCTTTTAATAACAGCAACAATAACAGTAAAAACAGCAACAATAACAGCAAAAACAATAACAGTAAAACAACAATAATAACAGTAAAAACAGCAATAATAACAGTAAAAAACAGTATATAACAGTAAAAACAGTATAAAAAAACAGCAAAAATAACAGTAAAACCGCAACAGCAGCGGCAGTAACGGTGCTGTTTTTGCCGCGGTACACGGGAGCCACGGGCGCCAACCGCGGGCACCGGACACGCGGGGGGAGAGGGGGG